CTGATGCTTCATCTGTAAAACGGGCTTGAAGAGCATCATCCCAACCTCCCAGCACGGCTGCGAGGGTCCAGGCGATAGCACCACGGTCTTGGCACAGATTTATCAGCCAGCGTATAATCAAGGTGGACTCCAGTTTTCCAAAAGTGAGATAAAGCTGTAAGTGCAGATCCAAATCCCCTTGTGTAGATGGAAACCTCGAGCATCTGAAACGCATACTCACTCCCTGCCACCCTCGTTGAAGTTCACTGACCCGCCCGCATTTGGGAGGGAACACAAGGTAGAATTGGGGTGAGCACCCCTACTGATGGGTGGAAACACGCTAGCTAAGCGCAGCGGATCACATTTGGAACCAGCGAAACACGCCGTGCAGGTTACGGTTTTGCAGGAGCTAATCGCCCGTCTTCACCTCTGAGCTCTGCCGGAGTGAAAGCCCGAAGCTCAGGCGGGACCTGGGCTCCGAGACCACAGGCTCCAGAACACCTGTGGGGGGGCAGTTTCCCCAGGGGAATTCTAGTTTTATTCTGGCAAAAATGAATTAATAAAGCCTGGATCGCCAGTGTCCCTTGCGGAACGTTCACCAGCCAGGTTGTTTTTGGGGTTTTGTTAAGTGTGAAAACTAAGCATTGAGATTGGGATGACGGGGCGTGAAAAAGGCATGGGCTTTGGCTCCTGGCTCCTGGCTCTGCTGCTTGCTAGCTGTGTGACCCTTGCGCGGGTGACTTAGCGCGGATCTCTGAGCCTGTTTCTCCGTCTGTAACCGGAGGAACCACACAGAGCTCCCTGAGGATGAGAGGAGACAGCACTGGCCTCACACACCGACCTTACAGGGAGCCTGGCCATCTGCTCTCAGAATTTAACCAGTGAAAACCCTATGGATCACAAGGGTCTGATCCCGCTGTGCACGGGGTTGCCATGATTCAGAGTCGACTTGGCAGCAACTAGGTTTCTGTTTTTTTCAATGAGGGTATCAGAGAATGGAGCCCTGGTGGTGCAGTGGTTAAGAGCTACGGCTGCTATCCAAAGGTCGGTAGTTCAAATCCACCAGCCGCTCCTTGGACACCTGACGGAGCAGTTCTACTCTGTCCTACAGGGTCGCTGTGAGTCAGAATCGACTCAACAGCAACGGGCTTAGTTTCTGGGTTTTGTTTTTCTCAGCAAATAGTGTTCAGCCTGAGGAACCCGGAGGATAGGGTTGCTACCAACTGAAATGGGAGGGGGTGTCTGGCTGAGCACCAAGTTCCTCATTTACAGATAGGGAAACTGGCACAGAGAGCCTGTGGTCACGCAGCTGGTAGGTGGGACAGCCAGGATCCAAACCCAAGCAGTCAGCTCCCTGGGTCTCCCTCAGCATCTGACATATTGTATCTGGAGTAGGGGGAAAAAACCACGATATTTCATACTTTCTTGGAACTGTAACAAAGACGGAACCTGACTCCAGCCCAGCAATGGCCCGCCACTAGCACCTAAGCCTCCAGATGACAGAGACAGCCCTTTGCTAGAAGGCTTTTCAATATACAGATGTAGATGCTGATGTTGAGTGGGATCTATTTTGGTATTGTTTTTGTTGTTGGGTATCATCAAGTCAGAACAACTCATAGCGACCCTACAGAACAGAGTAGAACTACCCCATACAGTTTCCAAGGAGCAGCTGGTGGATTCGAACTGCTAACCTTTTGGTTAGCAGACAAGCTCTTAATGACTGCGCCACCAGGGCTTCATTTCAGCATGAGAGAATAACTTAGCTTTGGTTCACATTGGTCCCTCCAGTATGCAGTCTAAAACACGGGAACGTCCCGCATATCTGTCCCCAGGCATTGTCAGCTCTGGAATCAGATCTTAGCAAGTCTGTGCTCATCTGGCTTTGATCCCAGGCTTCATCGGAATGAAGTACGTCACACTTCATTCATACAAGACGTTATTAAAACAGACAGCCAGTTAAGCAGGAAAGCACATACTTCCCTAGGCCTTAGAATGTCCTTTTATTTCTGGAGGCTGAATATGCAAACAGACAATGGCCAGACCATATATGACAGTACAATCCCGAGAAGTCAAACCACAGCCTCAGTCGGGCCAGAACAGTCAGCACTCAGTCCACGACCGCCAGCTTCCCTATTTCTCAGCCCCTCCTTCCACCTCAGCAGCAACCAGAGAAAGCCGAATACTATCCTCAGACCAATCACGTAGGATGCTTTCCCATGCCAGCAGCTTTCCCATGCCAACAGCTTTCCCATGCCAACAGCTTTCCCATACCAACAGCTTTCCCGTGCCAACAGCTTTCCCACACCAACAGTTTTCCCGTGCCAACAGCTTTCCCACACCAACAGCCTTCCCACACCAACAGCTTTCCCACACCAACAGCCTTCCCACACCAACAGCTTTCCCACACCAACAGCTTTCCCATGCCAACAGCTTACACCCGGGGCACACCTCAACTAGTAACCAGTTGCTGTCCAGTCACCTCCAACTCATGGAGACCCCTGTGTGTCAGAGTGGAACTGAGCTCCACAGGGTTATCAGTGGCTGATTTTTCGGAAGTAGATCACCAGGCCTTTCTTCCAAAGCACCTCTGGATGGACTCGAAGCTCCAACCTTTCAGTTAGCAGCCGACCATGTTAATGGTTTGCACCACCCAGGGACTCCAAACTACAAATATAGAGGTATTCTTTTGAGAATATTATATTCAAATATATAACAAATTTGAAAATCGACTGAAATGCTCACACATAAGTTCAAAAAGGCACTCACAGATGTTTGTTATAGTATTTGAAAAATCCGACATGCCCATGCACATTAGAATATCATTTAAGTAAAACAAAAATCAAATCTGTATTTGTTTATGATCGTATGTCGTTGTTAGGTGCCATCAAATCAATTCCGACTCATAGCGACCCCGTATGACAGAGCAGAACTGCCCCATAGGGTTTCCTAGGCTGTAATCTTTACAGGAGCAGTTTACCAGATCTTTCTCCCAAGGAGCCGCTGGGTAGGTTTGAACCACCGACCTTTTGTTTAGCAGCAGAGCGCTTAACCATTGCACCACCAAGGCTCCTTTACAGTCATACAGACATGAATATGCAACATAAAATATCTAGAAGGATATTCACAAAAATTTTTTTAAGAAAAAAAATTTCCTTAATTCTAGGAAACTCACTTTATTTGGGTCTTTTGAATCTTGTTCCCATGAATAAATTCATGTATCATTTGTGTAAATTCACTACCTGGCAGTACGTGACCTCCCTTAGATTCCAGCCATCCCCTCCACACAAAGTCCTCGACTTCAGCTGCACTGCCACCTCCCCTATCCCCACAGGTCATGTTTATTCTTTACTCTTCCTTTCTTCCGGGCTGTGACATTTATTGTCCCCCCTCCTTCAGACCCACGCTGGAGCTTGGTGATGTGGGGCTGGGCTCCGGGTCTCTCCTTTGCCAGCGGGATCCCTGCTTTGTTCTGCCAGCAGGGGGCGCCAGCGGGATGTCGGCAGGCAGGAGCAGGGTGGACGGGCTCCTTCCTGTGAGCTCCCTATTTGCTTCCTGTTCCATCAGCAGCACCCCGCCTTGCTGCTTCACCCCAGCAGCTGCAGTTCAGTGACCTGGGAAATCCAGGTTGCAGATTTTCTAACTGTCGAAGAGCCTGCTTTATCATGCCTGCACCTCCAGCCCCCGAGTCGCCAGCACCAGCAAGCACTGCCCCCTTCTCAGAGGTCTGAGTTGCAGCCCCTGCTCCAAGCTTCAAGTTTTTGTCATTTTAGCCTCTTCCCTGCATTCTGCCAGCCCCCGAAAGGGTGTGTAATAGTGCTTACTGTAGTTGCTACTTCCCCCAACACCTCAGTCTGTCTTCTTGCCTTTTCAATCACCTAGTTAACATGTTTTTATTCCTACTTCATAATTTTTTATTTTAAGGTCTTGCTGTTAACATACCTGGTGTGGCTTCTGTCTCTCGAATGGCCTCTGTTCCCCCAGCTTTGAATCTTTCCCTTCTCCTCCCCCACTGATTCAAATTCCATTGGCCTTCAAGACCTCGTTCAAGATGAAAACATGCTGCCCATCCCAAAGCACAAAGCACTCATCCCTGAGCCATCAGGATCTCTACTGCTCTGCTCCAATTTGATCGTCTATTGCAGGGGTTACAGTATGAGGGCCAAATTCAGCCCTCTGCCTGTTTATTTTAAATAAAGTTTTATTGGCACACAGGCATGCCCATTCATTTACCTATTGTCTGTGGCTGCTTTCAGGTTACAACCACAGAGTTCAGTAGTCGCAACAGAGGTCATCTGGCCCACAATGCCTGTCATGGATTGAACTGTGTCCCCCACAAATATGTGTCAACTTGGTTAGGCCATGATTCTCAGTATTGTGTGGTTGTCCTCCATTTTGTGATTTTCCTATGTGATATAAATCATAATCTCTGCCTGTAGTTAAAGTGGATAAGGGTAGGATGTAACACCCTTGCTCTGATCACATCCCTGATCCAATGTAAAGGGAGTTTCTTTGGGGTGTGGCCTGCACTACCTTTTATCTTACAAGAGATAAAAGGAAAGGGAAGCCAGCAGAGAGTTGGGGACCTCATACCACCAGGAATGAAGAGCAGGGGTACATGTCCCTTGGACCTGGGGTTCCTGTGCTGAGAAGCTCCTCAACCAGGGGAAGACTGATGACAAGGACCTTCCTCCATAGCTAAGAAGAGAAAGCCTTCCCCTGGAGCTGATGCCCTGAATTTGGACTTGTAGCCTACTAGACTGTGAGAGAATAAACTTCACTTTGTTAAAGCCATCCACTTGGGGTATTTCTGTTACAGGAGCACTAGATAATTAAGACAGTGCTTATTTATCACCTGGCCCTTTCCAGAAAAAGTTTTCTGACCCCTGGTCTCCATTTTACATTTATAAGTCTCCTAAGTACACTGGATACTCAACAGTTGATCCACACCCATCTTATTCACTGACAATTAATGGATTAGCAAGAGATGACTTCCCGTCCACCCACCTGACAGAGCCTCTTACCTGAGAGTGAAGTGGTCTGCCACAGAGCCACTAGTCAGAGAGACCAGAAAGGTGGCCGTGTCCCCTTCGCGGACGAGGTTCAGAGGCACTGAGATGACTACGTTCTCGTCCAGGTTCACCAGTGACCACCTCAGGTCGTCTTGGGTTGGGTAGACCACGACGCTCCCAATCCTCTCCCGGGCGGGGAGTGCCGGCTGGGGGCCACCCTGGCCCGAGTGTATGTTGTTCTCCCACTTGCCGTCCTCTTCCAGAGGGCACTCCCCCGCCTCGTCAGCTGGGTAGAGCGTGAAGAAGAGCTCCATGGCCGTGCCGCCCAGCAGGGCCGGGATCTCCTCCTCTGGCTCCAGGTCCAGGCCAGAGCTGAACCACTCGGGCAGCAGCTCCAGCTCGGCCACGCACAGCCCCGGAGCCCCCTGCAGCCGGCAGCTGGCCGCCACTTCCCTGGCCTCGGGAAAAGCAAACATCTTGACGCAGGGCAGGCTGTGGGAAGGTTCACTGGCATCCCAGTCCATCCCCGAAATGTAAAACAGGGTCTGTACTTTGGGTCTGTTGGAGTAGATAGAGCTGTCAAGGATGTGGGATTTCAGCTTCCAGTTGAAGGGAAAGTTCTCCACGTTTCCAAAGGGTGTGGACGTCAACATGAGCTCCTGGGGGACTGTCTTCTCCACTGCAAAGGGGCCGTAGCTGGCGTTGATGAGAGGGGGAGTCCTGGTGCGGTAGATGAAGAAAGGCTCAGCCCGGGCCTGCAGACTGGAGTTCCTCGTGAGGTCCTGGTTGGCCTCTTTAAGGAAGAAGGACTCCTGTGCACTTTCGATGTGGAAGCTGGCGGGGAGATAAGCCGGGAGCGAGGAGAACCTGTGCAGGCTATCCATGACTCCCCGGCTCTCCGTCACTGCACAAGAGGAAAGCAGAGAAAAGTCAAAGCCCAGCTCTGACATCCAACGAAATAAACGCAAATGCAGCCTCCACCCACCACCCAACAAACCGCCCGCTGGCCGTGCCGTCCCTGCCCGGCCTCATCACAGCGACAGTCCTGTAATTACAGAGGGTGTTCTTCAGTTCTTCCCCAAAGAAACAGTGCAGAGAGGGAAGGAATCACATTTACCACTGATCAGAGGGCCCTAGGGATGCACAATTACCTCCCTGGAGGGAAAACATTGCCTCCTCCTGGTCTTAAAAAACCCAAGCCCAGAGGACCGTGGTCACCTTTGTTGCTAATCACCCTGCAGAGAGCCCACCATTCAGGCACTGCACTTTCCTATATGGTTTGTTAATGCTTTATTAAGGAGCCCTGGTGGCACAGCGGTTAAGCACTTGGCTGCTAACCAAAAGGTTGGCAGTTCAAACCCACCTGCTACTCTACAGGAGAAAGATGTGGCAGTCTGTCTCCATAAAGATCACAGCCTTTGAAAACCTATGGGGCAGTTCTCCTCTGTCATATAGGGTCACTATGAGCTGGGATCTACTTTTTTGGCAATGGGCTTTTTAGATTGGTTGCGCAGTGGTTAAGCTGGTTCGAATTCACCCAGCAACTCTGCAGGAGAAAAGACTTGGCAGTCTGCTCCCGTAAATATTACAGTCTATGAAACCCTGTGGGGAAGTTCTGCTCTGTCATATAAGATTGCTATGCATCAGAATGGACTCAACAGCACCCAACAACACAGCAACAACAATGCTTTATTACTTGCAAATGTATGCTTATTTCCATCACTCGTATCTGTGCCAGATGCTTGGGAAGATTATTCACAGGGGACATTTAGACATCTCCATAATTCTTACTGAAATGAGGGTGAAGCTATGGACCAGTATTCCAATTCTAGAAATCTCTCTTCCCTTCAGAAATGCTAGTGAATATGCATGAACATTGATCTGCAAGGGTGCTCAGTGTAGCCTCAGCTTGAGTTGCAAAGATACTTAAGAGCAGAGGTGCTGCTAGATGGGATCAAATTGACAATAGCAACTCGAAAGATCAGACAAGAAGCTTAGGGGGCAGTGTGTTTATGTTAATGGGGAGGATCAGAAAAGGAGAGTGAGAATGGCTGCATTACTTGAAGAATGTAATCAGTGTCACTGAACTGTACATGTAGAAACTGTTGAATTGGTGTACATTTTGCTTTGTATGTTCTCAACAACAACAAAATAAAACGATTAAAAAATCTGTTCAGATTAAAAAGAGCACAGGTGCTAGAGTCAGGCGAGCACAGGTGCTAGAGTCAGGCGAGCACAGGTGCTAGAGTCAGGTGAGCACAGGTGCTACAGTCAGGCGAGCACAGGTGCTACAGTCAGGCGAGCACAGGGGTTAGAGTCAGATGCCTAGACTTGAACCCGGCTCTGCCGCTTCTGAACTAAGCAATCTTAAACAAGTTACTTAACCTCTTTGTGCCTCAAATGTCCTTACATACAAACCCACTGCCATAGAGTCAATTCCTACTCATAGCGACCCTATAGGAGAGAACAGAACTGCCCCATAGGGTTTCCAAGGCTGTAATCCTTACAGAAGCAGGCTGCGACATCTTTCTCTCACCCTTATATACAAAGTAGGATAAAAATCAATTCTACCTCATTGGATACATAAGGATTAATGAGTTAATAAATACGAAGCTCCTCGAACAGGCCTAGCACATATAACTGCACAATCATTATCTACCTGCTACTAACACTTAGTATGATCGTTTATTTTAATTTGTACTAAACGTTCACCAATAGAAGACTAGATAAACTATAGATTTTTACAGCAGAATAATAGGTTGCTATAAAAAAAATGAGATCGTGCTATATGTACCTACTTGAAAAGATGTCCACATTATGTTATTAAGCACACTGCAAATTACAAAACAAAGTATAAATGTGCCATGTATGATCCTATTTGGGTAATTTTTAAAAACTGTATATGTGTGTATGAAAATATGTGTATATTAAGTGTGTGTGGTTATAGAACCCAAAAGAAAGATTTGCTTTTTACCATCTATGCTTCTATTTTTTTTAAGTTAGAACAAACATGTATTATTTTGTTAATTTAAAAAACGCATATTCTTAATGTGTTTCTCCCAAATGTACACAGAGAACAAAGACCCAACAAGCTTTTTCAAACTGCAGACAGCCCACCAGGACCCAGAGGAAGGAAATCAGGCCAGGAAGCTCCCCCAAAATCAACCTTCACCCTGGTCAGACTTTCCCACCAACTCAGGAAGAGATGAAGCCTGACCGTTGTGTTTAAAATGTAGAATCGTGAGATGAAAAGGCAAATAGCCACCACTTCACAACCCTGACTCCTGGTAACATTTTTTCTGTAGCCCATTACAAATTCTGCAAAATATGTTTTTTTGTTGATTTCAAAATTCTGTGACCTTTTCAGGGCTGTCCTTGGTGAGCTTTCCATTTCCAGAGGGTCACAAAATTGTAGCTAAGAGGCTGCAAAAAATATGCAACCACATGGGGGCTGATGCATCCTTTCTTTCAAGAAACTGTTTAGAAAGTGCCATCTGTATGGCTGGTCCCATGTTGGATTTATTGCTGGGGAAGGCAGGTAATCACTTATGCATTCTTCCAATAGTTTATTTAACTCTCTCTCTATATATATTATTTATTATATTTGCAGCACAGTGTCATGTAGGGATACCACAGGGTCAAGACAGACATGGGTTCTGTCCCAAAGAACTGGGAAGCTTTGGAAGAGGACATGGCTAACACGCATGAAGCAACTAGGAGACTGAGCATCAAAGCCCTTAAAAATGCCCGTCCCAGAAATTCTCCACCTAGGAATTTGTTCAAAGGAAATAATCAAGAGATCAGGAAGGAGATTAAAGCCCAATTATGTTCATCACAAGCATGATTTATAACAGAAACACACTGGAAGCAACCTAAAAATTCATCATTAGGGAAAAGATTCAATAAATTTTTAGAGCCCATCGATGTATGTGGTCCACCAGCGTCTGCCAGTCTGTCGTACTAGGGTGGCTTGATATTTTGAGATGATGCTGGAAGCTGTGTCAACTGTATTCCAAATACCAGCAGGGCCACCCACGGTGGACAGGTTTCAGCAGAGCTTCCAGACTAAGATAGACAAGGAAGAAAGGCCTGGCGATCTACTTCCAAAAACTAGCCAAAGAAAACCCAATGCATCACAATAGATATAATGCTACAAAATAAGTCCTCTAGGTTGGAAGGCACTCAAAATACACAGGGGCCACAACAATGGACTCAAGCATCGCAACAATCGTGAAGATGGCACAAGGCCAGGCAACAATCTCATTCTGTTGTACATCGGGTTACTATGAGTCAGAGCCAACTCAACGGCAGCTAACAACGTGCATATGACATTGAACTGCCATCAAAACCATAGTTTCGACAAACATGCAGTGCCATGAGAAAACGCTTACAACATGGTAAGTGAAAAAGCGGATGTCAAGACTTTGTTTAAATTATCCCCATCCGATATAGACATGTATGTATGTATATTTATATGCCAGTCTATACACACACATATATATGTAAACACATATACACGTGATATATTCACTCTCATAATATAGACCTGGGTTTCCCCCAAAATGTGTCCATATAGATGCTCAGGATTTGGATCTGAGACAGAGGAGAGAGCAATGACTTTGAAGGATTAGCATCATCTATAGGAAAGGTTTAGCTGCTGCCGCCACCAAGGGGCAGTTTGTATTTTGACAATGCCAAACAAGGGAGAAGCACCATCCCTGATGAAATTTAAATTAGTTTTTTGTTGGTTTATTTCCCTCTCCAAACCAGGAAGTTCAATTCCAGGTGAACTTGCCCATGAATTAATTGGCAATAAGGACCACAGTCAGCTGGGAGCACCCGCCTGGTGCAGTGTGACAATTCCCTTCAGCTGATCTACGTGGGCACAGAGCCGGCCAGATTTGGAGGTGAGAGGTCCAAATATTACCTTCTCGAGAGATTTAGGGGAAGCCCAAGGAAAGGTTTAAATTTCGACTGATTTCCAGATGTGGAAAGGAAGTTCAAATAAATGCAAAAAGTAATATCTTTTTTTTCTTTGCGGTGAACGGCTTTATTGTTTTCTTTATCTTTTATGTGGGCATTTGACTCCTCTCAAAAAAACTGATTTACAAGGAAGTTAAAGCACTGCCTTCTCACTTCTTTATTATGGCCAAAGCCTCCGTTTTATCTGAAAGAGCAGGGTGAGGTCTACACGCCTGTCCCACCATAACTCAAGCAAAATGCAATACACATTTTGTCTGAAAGCTTATATGGAGAGCCATAAACAACGCTGCTGGGGCCTCATTTTAGCCTCGAACTGACCCCAACAAAATATGACGTCTGAATTTAGAAGCCTTTCATGACACCGCAGGGCTGTGTCCTGAGAAATGCGCCATGGACTGTGAGCCAACACCATACCCTCCCTCTCGTCCCAAAACGTAAAATAGTGGTGCCATTCTCTTGCCCATTGGCAGGTAGACCATGTGGCCCACGCTCTGAATAGGAATTAGTCCCATTCAGTCTGCCAATTTCCAAGAGGGCTTTTCACCACTGGCTGAATGAGGTGGGTCCTGAGAGCACAAAATAAGAACGCCTTAATGAGGCCCAGCTGAAAGGGGCCTCTCATCACTGCCCTCCATAGCTGCCGGGAAGAGAGTTAAGTTCAGGTTCAGAGAGCACAAGTGCACAGACAGATGCTCCAGGCTAAAGGGTCCTCGGGCTCGGCACTGCCAGGAGCAGGTGGCTCCAGGAAAGCCCCAGAACGACCTGGGGGGTGGGGGTGCTGGGCGCTACCTCCTAGAATGAAGCAACTCACAGGGCCCTGGCAGGGACCCTGGGTCCCAAAGTGCATGGATGACATAATGGCTGTGCTTGGCACATAAGAAGTATCCCTGGACTTGTGCCACCTCAGTCACAACTCGGCGACCTGGAGCCCCCAGCCCCTAGATGGAACCTTATGACTCAGAAATCA